GCATGGAATACTCGTATTCTCTCGGTTAACTGTCACTAGCTCCACCAATGCCATCACAGCATAAACACAGGATGGAAGCAAACAGCACCAAGCATCGCTTCGCGGGCTGGAATGAGAAGTGCTTATCACGTGGAGCACAAAAGCCAGGCTTCACCAAAATATTAATTTCTCATTGTATTCTACAAGTCGACCGCTCCGCTCCCAGACGTGCGAAAGCACGGAAGTGGGCAAGAGATGGGGAGCAGCAAGCCAGACGTTTGGGAAAGGCATCACCGGTAGCCTGGCAGTTTTGCATGGACAACCCGCCAAATCACGCGCATCCCACCCTCACCTCACAAGACCCCAGCTTGCAAGTTTCTAGATATCTGGGGACACATGTAACGACTGATTCCAAGAAATACATACTCCATTCACAGTCATGGAAGACATGATGCCTGGGTTTAATCTTACGGGAAATTTTGATGCTTTAAGTCGCCGAAAACGTACGGGCCATACAAACAAAAAATTGACATGACATGACATGGTGGCATGCATTTCGCAGGACTTGGCTACGCCCTAATGCACCTGGAACACCCGACGAATTGCATGATTAGCTACCTTAGTGCTCACGCCGAAATGGAAGCATCGGTCCACCTTTGGTTATGGCACATTTGCAGCCTGCAGTCTCTACGAAGCACCATATCGACGATAAATACAAGGGGCAAATACGCCTCCAGCTGTCAGATTTAGGCCATAGATACCGGTCATATTGTGACACCGACTAAACACCGTTTACCACAGCGCTACGTAACACTGCTTTGAATCGCATCAATTACTTCAGTTAGTAAGCCTTTCCAACAATCAAAGCGGCTCACATACCTCCACAGCGAACCTGCAGCGGATCGGTAGTGCACCGAGCGCCCAGCGTCTGACCCGGCTCAGGCCACGTCCGCGAAGCCAGCCGCCACACCGACGCGACCGTCGGCGTGACAACCCCGCCAGACGTGACCTAGGGCGAGCTGGGGCCAGCAGCGGGCGGCGGCCTCTCGGCGGCGCCCGCCGACAGCTCCTCGCAGGCGGCCGCCTCGAGCGGCGAGACGAGCGCGGTGGCGGCGCGCGCGCCCCGGCCGCGTGTGTTGTTGTTCAGCTCGGCGCGGGAAGCTGCTGCTGGGCGCGAGACGCGCGAACTCGCGCGGGTCGCGGAAGCTGGCCGAGCGCAGCGGCAGCCGGCCGGCCTCGCCCGGCGGCACCGCCGACTGGCGCAGTGACACCTCGCGCTCGCGCACGCGCAGCTTTGACTCCACCTGGCCCTTGGTGCGCTCGGCCGTGATCAGCTTGCAACGGGCCGCCTTGAGCTCTCGGTCGAGCTTGACACGACCCTCCTCGACCTCTCGCAGGCGCAGCTGCGCCTCTTCCAGCTGGCGCTGCTTGCTTTTCTGCAGCACCTCGAACGCCTCGCGCTTCTGGCGCTCCTCGTCCAGCAGCGCCGTCAGCTCAGCCTGCAGCCGCTCCAGGTCCTCGCGCTTCTCCCACTCCTGGCGGAGCACGCGACTCTGCGCGCTGCGCACCAGCTCCTCGTCGCGCTTGGCCTGCTTCTCCTCCTGCAGCAGCCGCTCCAACTCCAGGCGAGTTTCCTCCAGTTCGGCCAGCTTGCGCTCCTCCTCGGCCTTCTGCAGCTCCAGCTCGGCCGCCTGCGCCTCAGCGGCGGCGCGCGCAGCCGCTCGGCCTCCAGCTCGGCCTTGGTGCTGTCCATGATGTTGATCTGGCTGAGGCGGCGCCGGTCGTCCTCGTGTTGGCGCGCCTCCGTCTGGTGCCACTCGGCGCGACGCGCCGCCGCCAGGTGCCGCTGGCAACCCTGAGGCGAGCCCGAGAACGAGACGGCCGTCTCCAGCGCCGACAGCCACTGGAACTTGGTCTTGTAGTCGGGCGCGGCCAGCTCCAGCGCAGCGCCGTCAGCCGACACGGAGAACCGGTTGGGCCGCACGCCGCTCTGCTCGATCAGGTTGACCACCTGGGTCTGCGGACTGAGCGGCAGCCGCAGCTGCGGCCGCGCGTCGTCGCGCCGCCGGTAGCAGCGCAGGTCGCGCGGCGTCAGCACGCACCAAAGCGGCCGGAAGCCGCGTACGCAGTCGGCGCGCCGCTGCAGCGGGCCCTTCTTCACCACGTCCTCGACGACCACGTCGTAAACGTCGTCGATGGCCTCGCGCAACGCCTCCGTCTCCATGTCCTGCGTGTAACGTGTCTCCAGGAAGGCGAGGAAGATGGTGAACTTAAAGTGGTGGATGATCTCGGCCAGCTGCTGGAAATCGGCCGAGTCCCAAACGCGACCCAGCGCCTGCACAAACTTGCTGGCCACGAAGTCGACCTCCCCGGCGTTCATGACCACCTGCACGGCCAGGTCGGGGTCGGACATGAGCTCACCAAGACAGCAAAAGACGCGGAACAGCTGGCGCACGCATTCCTCGGGCAGCGTGGGCATGTCGCGCTTCATGGCCGTCGGGGCGGTACAACACCCAGCACGTGTCCTCGACGGCCTCGTGGTAGACGCGCAGCTGGTCCGGCGTCAGGTCGGCCGGCAGCCGCGAGAACACCTCGTGTGTCAAGTAGTACTTGTAGTGCTCGAACGTCAGCGTCGGCGTGCTGCGAAACTCGCTGATGCCTGCCTCCACCTTCTGGTCGGCGAGGTCCAGCAGCGTGCCCAGGTTCTGTGTCAGCACCTTCAGCCTTGACTTGGTCACGTTTCCATGCTGATCACTGTCCCAGACTGGTGAAAGCATGCCAGATGCTGTTTTCGAGCATTGGCAGTAAATCCATGACGTGGCTGGGTGGAGTGCTCTTGTGGTCAGTGTAGTAATGAAATATCAGCAAGAATATTGCATGCTTTCCTTCATGATATGCATCATTCTGAGCATGGACTTCTGGCATGAAAACCAGGAAAAGCTTTCACTCCTTGATGCAGACTTTCAAGGACACACTATCACATAGCAAAATGCTTGTTGCCAATCTACATTGTTATCAATCACATCTCCCCACTGAGTGGAATGTGTTCATTACTGCTATATAACAGGCTGTTCAAGTCAAACACCTTCCAGCTATCCCACACATTCATTTGCAATATCTTGATAGCAAATTACCACCCAGTAGATTGGGTTTTTGAGTCCTCATCACACTGTGTCACCCAACACTACAGGCTGACTGTACTAAGAATGACCTTTTTCTTGGGCAATTTTTGGCCTGAAAGATCAGAGTCATGTCACACATGCAGCTTTGCATCTGCACCTGTGAGAAAACACCAAACACATATGTCATATGTACTTGACAGGTCCAGGATGTGGGGCAGGCTAAGAACATCTGTTGACAAACTGTGCCAATGGGTTTCAGAACCAGGATTGGTAAGGACCTATCCTTAAGTTATTTGGGTACCTGGGCATGGGTATTTGCTTATAGCACATCCCCTAGCATGCACTAAATGCTGTGATGTGTCTTCTAAGATTCAGACACAGTGGATAGTTGGCAGTCCACTGCAAAATGGTTGACATTGAAACTTGGATGGTTGCCAAACTGCCCTGGAACTTCTATATACCACAGCACAAGGCAATGCAACATGAAAGACATTATGCCAACTTAATATCACTTAGTTAAAGGCATATATTGCTGTTAATATCTTATGCTCTATACCATTCTCCTTTAAAATCATCATAATTGACCTGCACAAATTATTCTGGAAAGTTTGGCTTGAGCACTCAGAGTCCAATGTTAAGTTCACAATCCAATGAGAGGAAAGCGGAACTTGCCAGTTTCGACAAGAACTATAAAGCTGTCGCTCAATGCATGGTAATCAAGCTAAACCCCTGGCTTCGAAGTCAAATCTAAGCCAAAGTTCAAGGTGGAGCCAAAGCTGAGGAATTTAAACCTGCAGCTGGGAATCTGAAGCTAAAGCTGGCATCTGCATATCTTTAAAATGTGAAGTTGAATCTGAAAAAGTGGCTTCAACCATAGCATAGCAGGAGTAAAAAATCAACAGCTTAGAAAGTAGGAAATATAAGGTCATACCCAAGCTTTCAGTTTGAAATCATTGGGTCAAAGTCTGAGGTGAATCAAATGTTCAATGTTGTTCTGCAAGTCGCAAACCCATTTTTTATGGAGGCCAAAACTGCATCAGATAAGAAAACATCATCAGTTTTGCAGTTGATTGAGCCAAAAAGAATAATAGAGAGGACCTCAAAACCAACCTAAAATGGAGAGCACCATAACCAAATATGGCAATGGAAGCATGAAAGATGGCATCTCACATAAATAAACTAGAACACAACCAGAAAAGGCAAACCACAAACACATGCTGATAAATTATCCTCAATGTACAAATCAACCTTGGGGCTCAAATGGGTACCAGAAGTGAGACCCCACCAGCACAGACCAGAGGGCAGGCCTGCAAAGCTGCAACCTGCCCGGACGTCATTGATATAGGGCATACCGAAAAAGTATCCTGGAGTTACAGATGTTTTTTAACAAGACTGCACCCCGCGGACGGGCAATGCCCCTCACGAGCAAACTCGCCTAAAGCTTTGATTAGCGTAATCGAATCATTAGCATGCATTAGAACCCATGAAAGGAAATGTTTTCTCTCCTTGATCAAATAAATTTCCCCACTGCCAGGTACTTCCCTAAATAGTCGTTGTTTTGCAATACAACGCAAAAAAGCTCCATTGCTGCATAAAAACAGGTCCAAAATAAAAAATATCCCTTATTAGAACTGTGTTTCTGTCAGGACCCAGGAAAAACGCAACGAAAATCTCCAAAAAAAATATGGTGAAAGAGGAAGAAAAAAATATAAGAAAAAATTGGGATATGGTAGTGTTTGGTATCTCAACTTTACGACAGACACAGCGCAGCATTTTTGTTTTGTTTACGTGCTAGCCCGCGGTTCTCATGCTGCCCGAAATCCAACTTCCGTAGAGTAGGGCTGGTCTCAGGGGTAGGTGTATTATGTTTATGTGCGCATACGTGAGAGGTGGAGAGACTAAGCCAAGGATTTTTGCACCTTTTGTTCCATATTATCGTCGTGACCTTCTGTTGCAAGGCTAGATGAGGTAGTTCACGAAGGTCAGCCATGCTGAGTTAACCTATGTTTATTGCAATGGTGGGTTTAGGAAATGTAGCCAGCGGTCACCAGTAGCTGGGCCCCCTTGTTGCCAGACTGTGAAACATACGCTACACTGAAAAGTTAAGGTTTTTTTATATTGGCGATCAGAGTGATTTGCTTTACCATGTTGTCTGCACAATTTCAGCTGTTAGGGAGCCAATGGTCATGTTTCAGGGAATTGCGATGTTGTGGAGCCAATTCCAGGCATGCCCCCAAAACCCTGAAAACATTTCATGGAAAAGTTATCTAGCTTTCACGTCTGTATGCCAACGGATGTTGCTGCTTAAACAAATTTATCAGCCACCCATGCAAAACCCATAGTTTGCCTAATGTAACACATCCTGTCCTTATATAACGCTAGCTAACAACAGGTTCAACTAACCTGTGTGACAGTCAGTGTGCAAGACCCGCCCACTGTACGTGATAAATGGTGTCATTGTGATACAACTATAGCATGTATGCTTTTAATGAGTGTAACACATAAATAACCAAAAACTGCCATCAATACTTTTATTAATGTCATCATCAGCACATGTCTTAAGTGAATGTTGTATATTTCTATGGGGTTTTGAATAGAAATAGCCATATTGTCATTCCATAAGCCATGCTGAGAAAAATATTATCATCTAGGTATTCATATCTTACATTCATGAACACAATTTTCAGATGTTACAATATAACTAAGAGCTGTCAGTTGGCTTTCAATCAGTGATGTGCAAGGCACATAGAAAACATTCACAATAATGGCATCATTTAAATCCTGTCATTCCATACACAATGCTGAAAAATATTGTAGAGTTCTTCATATCTTGCATTGATCATGATTTTCAGATGTAACAGCATAACAGCTGCCAGTTGGCTCCTGAATGACAGGACAAGTACAATGACATAATTAAGCAATGATGTATCGAGAGGCATATTTCCTAAACAGACAAATTGTGTTGTCAAAAGCAATCTTTTCTTTTCAAAAGTATACAACCTTTCAGAAGTGAGCTTGCTTCATTATATCTGATATTTGCTTTATTATTTTCAAAGATGAAAGATTCCCTTCAATTGTGGCCTAATTAGTTTTGCCTACAGCCCTTATTGTGTTGTGTTTGCATGCAATTATCATTATTTTCTAATTCTGTCAGGCAGTAGCTCTTCATCTACTGAAGTTTGTGGTGTGGTTGGCCAAACTCAGAGCACTCAAATGTGCAAGGGGATACATTGTTGATTTTTTGTATGCAACTCTGTCAATGCAATAGACATGCTCAGCATGTTCAGTATTTTGTCCATCCTGGTCTATCAGGGGCCACAGACAAATTATCTACTAAGCTGTAGCATCATCTGCTGCTTGGTGGGCTTCAGTGAAAGGCAGCAGGCACATTGTAGCATGTAATCTAATTCCATTGCCAATTGCTGCTCATGCAGCTCTTTCTTAATGAATTTTGATTGTATGTGAACCTTGAAACTCTACATCCTGTTAACAGTTATCTTGGGAACCATGGCGTCCTTTGCACACTTCTCCCATGTTAAGCATTCAGGATACATATCACACATGTTTATGAAGTTGCTGTCTAGGAAGTGCCTCATTACTAAACTTGATCTTCACAGAACACCCCACCTTACTTGTTAAGGAACAAAAGTTATGGCATGCAGTGTTGTGTCAGTGCAGTGTGTGATGTGATGGCTGTCAGGACCCCTTCCTCCATGCCTGTCACATGGTTAATGGATAACCATTACACTTAATGCTTTCAACCCAGTTGTAAATGCTAAACTGTCTATGCATATTGTAAAACTTGAAGATTTTTCATGTCCCTTTACTGCCACCTGGGGTGCATATTGTAAAAAAACTTGAAATTTTTCATGTCCCTTACTGCCACCTGGGGAGCTGCTATTATTTGCTGCACATGGTTCCCACAATCTTAATGTTATGGGTCAGAAGTATGGTCAGGAAGAGGCAAGCTGTAAGACTCAGCTGATAAACTGTGCCCAGAAAGCCTGAGGAGCTCTCCATCCATCAACACAGGAAGAGTGCCAAGGCTGGGATGCTGATTACTCAGAACAGTCAGTGACTGGTGCCCTGTTTCTTAGGCCACATACCTTTCCATGGTGAATTGATTTGGTGTTTGTGCATCATGTTCATGCTGCACAGCTGTTGATTGTCAACATGTGCCCCCTCAGTAGTGTGGAGCCAACTTCATGGGATGCAGCCATGACAGCTGACAGGGGGCCACAGTCTTCTGCTCAGTCAATCACATGGAGCGTGGAAAACGAAATTCACCTGTTTGATGCAATGACTGGCTACAAACCTGTTGGTAATTATCTATAGCTAGTTCTTAGATAATTGTTTTGGTGTTTGATGGTACATACTGTCTTGAGTGCTTTTTCTGGATTCTATCATATTCTGATCCTGTCAAAAGAGGCAGTGTATGTCAATAATTAGTTCACTTTGCAACCTTGTAGCTATTTTGCCTTAGGATACATTATTTGCAGTGGAGTTGAGAGACCTGCTGTATGTGGCTCATGTATTCTGTGAACATTTTTTACATGTGTGCATTATTAATACATGAATGCATTTTTCTCCACTTGTTCATAACACCTATTACAAAATTAGTTTTTACTTCTTGTTACCACTGTACATTTACACAAGAATGCCAGCGTGATGCTGGTACCCATTAACCAATGTTGGTGATGTTTGTCTCCAGGGGTCAACAAACATTTCCAGATGCTGATGATACTGGAGCGGTTCTGCTCGCGAGTGCGACAAGACGTGCCTGCTGCGGTCATTTGGGATCGGCTGAACCAGCTATATGACATGACTGCTCTGGTGTGTATGCCACGGTTCAGGGTTCACCATCCATTGCAATGACTTATGACTGACGTTTCGTGGCCGTCGAGCACCAGCAGCACGCAGCGACATCTGATGGTGCGTGTGACCGAGCTTGGGTCTGCGGCCAGGACGAGCTGGAGAATCTGCCGTTCCCGAACAAGCAGTCGGAGTTCGGCCTCCCTGCCGACGAATTCGACAGCCTGATGCAGGAGAAGCTGCGCGGCGGAGAGCAGCGCGACGACGAGAGGACCCGCGACGACGGCAGACGACCCAAGACCAAGGAGGACAGGGGTGAGTCAGGAGCGGCGCCCGCCTGCCTCGCCGCAGCTGACGCAGTTGGTACTGCCTGGCGCTCGAGCCGTGACATGACCTGGTTATGTGCGCTAGCGAGGCGCTATGGCAATGCACTCGCGTGTGTTCCTGCGTACGGTTCGCTAAATTATTGTTCCTAGTGGCAGGGTTCGGTCTGGACGCGGCAAATGAGGTGCAGGTGCAGCTGTGACAAGTATCCTTGATGTACATAAGCAGGCATTGCGTGAAGATGAGCACGCATTGCTTACAAATGTATCGAGGCAGCTCCAACAAATCCGCCACGCTGTGCCAGACTGTCCTCAGCCTTTGTAAAGCGAGACTGGTTAATTTGAACATAGGCATTGTTTTGCCCCCCCCCGACCATATTACCATTACCTTCCATACAGGCGTCGCTTTTTAAAACGCGATTCTCCGACAGAGTCAAAGTTACAATGGGGGGGGGGGGGGGTGATAATTAGGCGCTCGTGGACCATATTGTACTACACGACTCCCCCATTGGCCCCTTTGGCACAAAGCTTTACAGACAAATTGCAAGAGACAGACATAACATTTGATGAACATCAAAGTGTCATGAGAGGCAGTACGATTCCACAACTCTCCACGTGCTAACTCGGGAACCTCCACCGCCCACATCTGCACTTGGGAACCGTCCCACCAAGCCTTCTCCGCCCTCACTTCAGCTCGTGTGGCGGCAGGGGCCGGCGCCACGCGGGAGAAGCGGAAAGGCGACGCCGGAGACCAGGTGCGGCGCGCTCCGAAGCGGGCGGCGCGCGACAGCATGGGCAAGGCGGGCAGCCCGGCCGGCACGTCGCTCCCCAAGCGGACGCGTCGCATCTGACCGCGCCCCGCTCCGGGCGCCGGCTACACAGCGTTTTCGAGCGGTGTTTGTGGGACGGTGGCGTGTGGGACCAGTCGGGGATGAGCACAAGCCGATCTCGGCGCCGGCGGTCGTTGGTCGCCGGGCCTGTTTTTACCTCTTGTGCACGCCGGACGGCCCGCAGGCGGAGGCAGTGGCGGGGCCGAGCTCGGGCTGCTGGTGCCTCGTGCGGAGCCGCGAGGGCGGCATGTGTTACTCCATGCTCCGCGTTGTAAGGCCGTGGGATGCGCTCTTGACTATGTGGGTGAAGCTCGGGGTTCTGGCCCCTTCTATTGAATAAAGCCTTCGTAGTGATTCGTTTACGGGAACGTGTTCAGTGTGGAGTTACTGCTATCGCCAGCACACCTCAAATCGGCCTCCCAGGGCCTGTACCATCCGGAGCGCATCCAATAATCCTAAAAGCTGACGTTAGTCTGTGGTGCTGCATGGTGAGGATGGGCCAAGTCACAGCGATTAAGCATTTGGACGGGGATAAATCTCTGGGAGTGCTGTCGGGGCTTGGAAATATGTTCTGTAAGACGCAATCGAATACCGCTCTGATACAACGCAGCGCCTGGCGCTCTCCAACCAACAAGAGCTCGAGACGGCCAACACAGCGGCGCCTGGGGTTGTACGCCGGTTCGGTTTATTGGAAAGTCGCAGAGAGCTGGTCCCAGCGTGGCTGGCCGGTCGGCGCCGGTGGTCACGACCTGGCCCGACCGCGAGCTGGGGAGCGGCGCTCAAGAATAAATACTATGACCCGCGCCGCCCCGACGGAACGTTAACACCCGCGGCCCGCGTCGGGCGCCGGACCGTGACGTCACGCCCCAGCCGCGCTGTCGCTGTCACGGACGGCCGCGGCGGTCCACAATCACGGCGCGTCGGAGCGCGAGGCGGCGCACCACGTGCCCCGCGCGCCCGGGTCGGACGCAGCGACGATATTGTACTTCCGAGCGCCGCCGGAGACAGGACCGGACACTGGCAGCGGTGCCGGCGCGGCTACGACCGTCCCGCTCCCTCAGCGAGAGCGACACGCGGCGGCGCCGCCGCCGACACTCGGAATAAAACCCGCCACGACACCGGCACCGACACGTCTACCCACAATTGCGGAATAACTGATGCGCTGTCGGGCAGGCCCGGTACTGGCCCGACCCGCCCGCGGCCGCCGCCCACTGACTGGGCCACCAGTTGATACCCTAGCGGCCCGGCTCGTTACTGCCAGAGCGGCCCGCTGAGCGGGGCGCCGCTGCCCAGCGGAGCGTAGGACGTGGGCGTGCCGCCCAGCGGCATCTGCTGGTGTCCCATTGTCATGCCGGCCATCTGCTGGTGCAGCTGGAAGCAGAAGTTGTGTCAGATGTACGTTTGCTCCTGCCGGTGGGCGCACGATATTTTGCGTCAAGTTTATGTTGTGACGGCTTGGTTGGGTGCATAATCCCATTCCAGCCGATCTTTGACAATCAGTTCCTCCCAGTCGTCCTGCTAGTGACCGTCAGTCGTGCTGCACTGCCCACCAAGACACGTTTGTAGCGTCCAGATGTCTACTCCATGCACTACATATTAGCGCAGTTGATGCTTTTACGAGCTCTATCAGCCTTTAGGGAGTCCGTGGTAAGGTGCTAGTATAAAGTAAGGTAGTTAGTATAAAAACACTTCAGTGTATCACTTGAAAATCTTTGAGCCGTGGTCCGACGATTTTTCCCAGAGCATGCGACCTTGGCGTCCCCATTTCAATGAATCTCAAGTCGAGGGAAAATCATATAAATGATGTCAACAAGCTTTGCAAGAAAAGCCCGCCACCCGAGGATCGCACCTGTGCGCGCATGCGCATCACGCGTCTCGACACGATCTGCGACGCGTCGGTGCGTCTGGCAGGTGCGTCCGAGCGGACCAGCCACTCACCTGCGGGTACCCGTTCTGCGGTAGATTGGTAGGCGGCATGGCTGGCATCGACTGGTTGTGGCTGTAAGCGCCCGGCCCCGCCATGTATGGTTGCTGCTGCTGCTGCTGCTGCTGCTGCAAAAGGGACGAGTGGTCTCGGTGCTAGGCTGGAGTCTAGGTTTCCCTTCACGCTTCTTTTGAAATCTCGAGGAAACCTTTTCTCGAGGTCCCGAGTGAATAGCACGATTTTTGGCTGTTAAGCTCACCAAGAGAGCTGATTTGCCAGCGTATGATACGTCCTTATCTTTATCGAGGCGATACGTTGTTTTGTTTTTGCTTTTTGTTTTATTGGGGGTCATCACGGGTTTTTCCTGAATATTACTACGATGTTTCCAAATCCTGAATTTGAGTTGACGGAGGTTCATCTATTTGTACATGACAGGACAAGTGAATTCAATTTCGGCCCAAGGGTGGGCTGTGCTTATGTTCGAAATGCAGCGCATTTATCGCAGGTGTGGGAGATTGTAAAGGAGGGCGAAACGGACGCCCGCTCGAAGCTGGGAACTATTTAACCCCACTCCCACATTGAAAATGATCATCATAAATATCATGGCGTTTCATAAGAAACCACCTGGAAGCCAATTTTGCTCTCATTCCCAACTCTGAACAGACTCCACCACCGCCGGTGGATCAGTGCTCTTCCGCACCACTCCATCTGCGAGAGTTAGCTTTGTTCTTCATAGCCACTGGTCTCAAAACCACAGTGCTAGTTCTGTTCAGATGCAGCGCCGGTCTAGGCAGTCAAATGCACACTTCAAAGCGGGACAAAAATCAGACGCCACACACGAACGCAGACCAAAATATCAGTCGCCCGTGGACACCGTCCATATCGATGTGGGACACTCATACTGCTGAGACGGGAGACATCTGGACAGCTGGCACCCAAGCGAAAGAAAAGCTAACCTGACCAAAACAAGCTTCAGGGTAAGGGCGGGGACTTCCCACATTCTGGGGACTATGTGTCTGCATGCACTTGCCTCGTATACATACAATGCACTACCATTACACCCGTAAAGACGTTGGTCCGTGCATTGATGTCCAGACGATGTATCACACAACCACAAAACAAACAAAACACCATATATCGATCAATACTGGGAATTTTAGTGATTCATGATCAAGTCTGACCTTTGGATTTCGATTGGTCTTGACTTTGACCTCACACATTACAGATAACTGCAGAAATGAACTCCCTGCCACACAGCACCCCTCAAAACCGGTATCCCACGAACCTCCAAGACACCGAGAAAAAAAAAACTTTGACACCGGACCAAAGTTCAATATGGCGGCGGCCGCCACCTTGGATTATGAAAAAATGCTGAAAGTTGCACATCACGCAACTAAGCTAAGCTGGATCTCCTGGCCACATAGAACATACTTCTGTAAAAAGTTTGCGGTAGCCGACATTGCATGGTCTCATGTAGGAAGTCTAAGGATGGTAACACGACCATATTGACAACAGCTATTTGAGGACGATTGGTTCATTTTGATAAAAAGCAGCCTACGTTTTTTTCTCCTTTGAACGACACTAAACGCACGCTCGATGCGCACTGACGCCGCTCCGTCGCCCACCTGATACTGGAGCCGCGTGGAAGGCGCCGACTTGTGGCTGAAACTGCTGCGGCTGCTGCTGCGGCGCCGGGTATCCCATGCTGAAGCTCTGGGCGGCCGGGTAGCCGACCGGCGGCTGCTGCTGCTGCTGCTGCTGGGGGAACCCTACTCCAGAGCTGGCGGGCGGCATGCCGGCATATGCTCCGAGGACACCGCCGCCTGTTGGCGGCGCAGTGTGCTTATTAAGTATCGTGGTGGTTATAGACACGTGCAGCTTGTTTGGCAATAATCGACGCCAAGTGCAGTGCAAGGTTGTTGCCGCAATAACGCTGGTAACATGCACAGCCAACGAAAACTGAACCCATAACAATCCGTGACGAACAAGCTCTGGACCAAAGCGTAACACATCACAGCCGTTCGCGCCTCGCTGCACGTTCGTCACGCCCGGCGCACCGACCGCAGAGCAACGCGCCGCCCGAGCAGCCGCCGACGAGCGGGCGTCTCCGAACCGTCGCCACCTGCCGCGAACACGCCCACTGGCCGGAGACGCATTTGTCTCTCAACGGCGGCGGGGACAGAACGAGACGGAGGCACGTTACCTGGCGGCGCGGCGCCGGCGGCCGACTGGCCGTACAGCGCCAGGATGGAGTCCCGCGACATGACCTTGGCGGCGGCGCCGCCGGCGGCCGACTCGGCCGGCTGGCTGAAGAAGCTGGCCTCCTCCGAGAGCAGCTGGGAGTCGCCGCCGGACGGGGCGGCCGCCGGCGGCTGCGGCGCGACCCCACGTGTGAGAACGGACCTCAGCCGCACGGGCCGGGGATGTTAACAGGCCGGCGGGCGATCCGTCCGCTTCAGTTTGACGACCAGACCACACCTCTCCCGCCACAATCTCGACTTTGTCTTGTCAACGCTGAACTAACTTACGACTTCAAGATACGTTTGGTCAATAACCTATATTTCAACTGCAGGTTGAGGCACAGCTACCTACATGACAATAACCTGGCAACAATACCGCCGCTAAGGATCTTAATGCAAAGGTGCGGCAAAGTAAGTCGCTAAAATTGCATAAGCGCGGCAAGCAAGTCGCTGTATTTCATATAGCTGTTGGGCCCCATCATGCATCACATTGTTGCAATGTCATTCATGCAACAGCCAGGCGCGGGCGACGGGCGGATGTGACACAGCAACACTCACCGCGGGCGCAGCAGCCGGTGCGGCGCTCAGGAAGTCGCCGAAGGGGTCGGCCGAGCCACCCCCATCGTCCGCCGGAGCAGGAGATGGCGTGTCTGCGACAGAGGCTGGGCATCAGCGGAGGTAGCGGCGGCCCGACGCTGCGGGCCAGCTGACAACGCGGTCCACACTACATGGGACGGCAGACAGAGCGCGACTCACACTGCATGGGACGACAGACAGGGCGCCACTCACACAGGCAGGGGACGGCAGACAGGGCGCCACTCACACAGGCAGGGGACGGCAGACAGGGCGCCACTCACACAGGCAGGGGACGGCAGACAGGGCGCCACTCACACAGGCAGGGGACGGCAGACAGGGCGCCACTCACACAGACATGGGACGGCAGACAGGGCGCCACTCACACAGACATGGGACGGCAGACAGGGCGCCACTCACACAGACGGGGACGGCAGACAGGGCGCCACTCACACAGACAGGGGACGGCAGACAGCGCGCCACTCACACAGACATGGGCACGGCAGACAGGGCGCGACTCACACACAAGGGACGGCAGACAGGGCGCTCACATTACATGGGACGGCCGACAGGGCACCACACACGACCGGGGGAAAGCGCACAGGGCGCGTGTCACAATGCCACTCTCCCACAAACCGAGGCGGTCTCGAGCCGGACGGGACGGACGAGTCACGCCCACTGACTGCAATCGCGTCCAATGTCGTCGCACAGGATGTTCGGGTCGTCAAAATGAGCATACCTAGCCCGAGCAGATCTGCGGCGCGCTGGCAGCGGCGGCCGGTCGAGCACCGCCGGCGTCTCCTTGGTCTTGACCTCCTTGGCCTGAGGGGCGGCGGTGACCGCGGCAAGGCCACGGGAGAGGGCGCCGCCAGCGGCTTGGTCAGCAGCGGCGCCGGACTCTCCACCCGGCCGCGCGAGCCCTTCCTGTGCTTTTGGTCCCTGATCATGGCGTCAATCTCAGCGTCCCAGTTCACCTGCAAAGGACTTCGGGCTCAGCGGTCGCCTTGATCCGCACTTGTGTATAGGAAAATCAATGACACGGAGAGTGAACGCAGACATGCGCTGCACAGAGCAGTAACACACAACATGAAACGTCTACGGTATGTTTACATATATATATATATATATATATATATATATATATATATATATATATCGGCATCTCTTAGCAGAATATCTTCTTCGGAGCACGTTTAATTAATAACGACCGCTGACTCCGCACTGATGGGCTTTTTTCGATCGAATGATCTGCGTCATTCCAGTTCCTGGCTTTTGTTTTAGCAGCATCGCCCCGATAAAAGAACTTTCCCGAAAAATCACTCATATGTTCGTCAATCAGTACATTCTTACATTTCGAAATCCTATCTCATAGTCGGAGAAAGAATGGCACGAAAACTGACGCAAGAAATAAGTTTTGAGTTTTTAAGGACTAAAACTGTTCATCACTATCTTGAGAACATCTTAGTACTACGGAAACGACACCCAAAGTAAGACCAAGTTGAAGTAAGACAAAATCCTACTGTCACTTTAATACACATAAAATGCACCCATAATAACAACAACACACACACACACATTGCCACAAGTACATCTATGGTACCAACCGCCCATCACCTAATAACTCAAGGGTTGTACAAGGCTTTGCTTAGGGCTGGAGAGAATTCCTTACTAAAAATGTTTCCCCAAATTTGATTGGGTCTTCTGTCATTGTACGTCTGAAGCATGCCAATGTTCTCCGTCAGTTGTTGTCGTGCCAATGTCCTGTCATGTTCGTGTAGTGTGTGCTCTGGGAGTGCCCTGTGACGTAAGTGCATTGTCAGGCGTCGTAAGAGTGCTATTGTGGTTACGCCGAATGTAAGTAATGGGACGAAATTTGCAGCCTTCCCGGTTACATCTGAATTGATATAAAAAACTGGTCCGCTTTAGTTAAGTCCGGTTTGTCTGAGCTGTCTATCGTAGGAAAGTTGGAGATTTCCCCATTGCAAAATAAATGACAATGTCTCTTTTGTGATCTGATTGATTCAGGCCAATTCCTAACGCGATCCTGTCCAATCAGGGCAATGCTTAAACCCACGTCTGAGGAATGGCCGTATGACACTAATTTTGTGGCATCGAGGACGCTCACTGTCAGCACTTAAACACCATCTGATGTTAGTCTGCTTCTGGTATACCGTCGTTCTAAGTCGTTCTTCTCGTCAATCAACAGTCACGTCAAGAAAGGGCATTATATTTGCAAACGTAGTTCTTTTGTGAATTTTAAACCAGATTGCCATTCAAAGATATTTTTGCGACGTCCTAGTTGGTCAGTGTCCCTGACCGCCGCAAAATTATCGTCCGCATAGCGATAGTAAATGTCCGATCTTATGTCGTCATTTTGTAGTGTGTCGGCTGCTGCATGTCCCGTAAAGAAAATGGCGAATAAAGGCCCAAGAAGAGAGCCCATCGCAACATCCTTAACTTGGGGGGCCTGATGGATGAGTGTATTACCAAACTAGGGGCGTATTTTATACGTAACAAAGTAACAACAGGATTTTGTTTTACTTCGATTTGGTCTTACTTCAGCTGACTTCTCCGTACTTAAAGATGTTCTCAAGATAGTGATGCACCTCAAAACTTATTTCTCGTGCCATTCATACTTCTCCGATGATGAGATCTCGAAACGTAAGAATGCCCAGACTGGCGAATATGTGCGTGCTTTTGTACGAACTATCTTTTATCTTAACGATACTGTTCTTCGAAAAGCCCCGAAAAGAAAAAAAAGAAAAACTCGAACAATGTATAAAAAAGCTCGTCAATGCGGAGTCAGCAGTTGTTTTTAATTAAAAATGCATGCGTGTATATATATATATATATATATATATATATATATATATATAATTTATTTGTTTTCATTAAACAACGGGATAGCGTCACATGATTACCTTGGGCCAACAACACACACTTCAAATTATCGAGTAATATCTCGTCTATGCAAGACGAATGTAAAAAAGTAGCCATCCGGGGCGACACGGCTCTGCAGAGCACCTATGCGAAAGCGCCATACCCTGTCCCAGCTCAGTGCGCACCACCCAACGGACCGCCAGCTGTGACAATGCCAACGCCTGGCGAGACACGGAGAACGCCCCCGTCATGAGTAGGCGGCGGGGGGAGGGGGGGAGGCGGGCGAATACCGACCTTGGGTAGCCGGGGCGGCACCCACTCGCGCGCCGTGTACTTGTTGTGCTCGTACTTGGCGCGGATGAACGACTCGAGCGCCGAGTCCGTCTGCGGCCGGCGGAAGTTGTCCGGCAGGTTGGCCTCGTACACGGCGCGCGCCCGGCTGTTGCCCATCTGCTGGAGCGCCTGCGGCAGCGCCAGGTCCCGCTCAGGGGGGCGAGAGGCGCCTCGGACGTGGGACGAGGGGGACAGAGCGCTCCCGGCCGCTGCTCGGCGAGCGGCGGACTGGTGACGGTTGGGCGGATCAGCACGACTGCGCAGAACTTCAGCGGACCGTTGTGTTGAAAGGCTGAGACGTTGCGAGATGTAAGGATGTAAGGCCAATGGTGAAGGGGCGCACTTGCGCACAACTGAATCATCATTTGAAGCAAAACTGGTGACTTGGATAAACAGTGGTTTTCCGAACAACATCCAAACGTGACTAACGTCTGTTTTGACTGCACTTGAGCTACAACTTAACATAGCTGCATAAAGACAGCTGTAATCTGCCAAATCATTCAAGAATGCTAACAATCTGTTGAAGGATAGGAAAATTGTACACATGGCGTCCATCCCCATTTCACGTGAAAAACAAATCGATGCCTCTCACCTCCAAAAAAGGTGCCAGATTGGCACAGAGCTACACACGTATGCCACGTGACCGTGTGGAAAGCCTAATGTTTTACTCCGACCATACGAGACTACAGGGGGACAGGGGGTCACTTGGAGGGAGGGAGGGGGAGGGATAGAGATGGAGCTGACCTAGATAGCTCCACCTAGTTCGCAGAAGCCGAGGGCTGCTTAGCATTTGGCCCGGGTTCGGCCGGACGTACCCAATTAAGTTCACGCGAAATATGTCACCAGACAGCATCATCGTTGACAACCCGTGCCAGAACCCAGCAAACTGCGCCAAAGTGCCGGACGCCCGGCGGGTCCGCGTGCCACGAGCCGTCATTAGAAACGCAAGCTGGCCCAGCACAGCGTCCGCAATTTGACACCGCGTCTGCTGTCTGCTGGCGGGGCCGCGCTCCGAGCAGCGACCACGACCGTCACACCCCCACAGCTGCGCTGTACCGGGAGAGTGGCCCGAGGTCGACGCACGGGCGGATGGCGGCTCGGAGGCGATGTGGCGCATCAGGGGCGCTGTTCGGGCAACAGGTGGGCGCGGGGTCACGGCGTAACAACACGCTAGGAAAGGAGTTTATTGTGACAACACCTACACGTGTTCGGGCACGGCGCCGGCATACCGGTCGTCGAGGATCGAGCCTGGGTAGGGCATGTCCCTGCATGGCCGCTTGCGTGACATTCATCGGGATGGGTGGACAGCGGTTGAGTATGGGGATTGGTTTCTACATCTAAACGGCGCGTCACTGCCCCCCCCCCCCCCCCCCCTACAGTGTCACTGGCACTGCACCTACAGCAACGATTATAGCGGACTCCGTTTCTGGTGAGGAGCTAGCGGAACGCGGTAGAAAACGAGAAAAATGAAGAACTTGAGGCGGCCGCGAAAGACTTCGGGCATGAAAAGAACAAAACGGAACAAGATGTAATGGTCTTCAGTAGGTCCTAAGGGCTGATTGCTGCTGCATTGCAAATTGAGCACGGATTGTGATGTTTAAGCTAATTGAGATGCATTCATCTCCAGCATTTGACTCACAACTACATGGCGTGATGTCACAATAACATGGCGTTATGTTTCTCGAAGTGTCAAATACAACGTTCATAATAGCAACAAATGAAGTATGTGCACCTGTAGCGAGTTTTAATGCTTACGTGAGGCATTCAACATATCCTCACACCTCATCAAAGTGCGTGATTGTCCATGATATTGTGCAGGCACCTGCCTATAAAACTAATTTTACTGATTTATCTCAATAATTTTTTTACAAAATATTTTCCACAAGCGGGTTTTGTACTAGTCCTTTGCCTCACATAGCTTTTTACAAAAATCCTGACACCACCACCCAGTACAGCAAGTCCAGTATAATAGGTAACTGGCCGAAATATTATGGTGTACCATGCAATGTTGTGGCATGACCAGCCTGTGCCAGCCTGAACCTCTCATAAACAATGGTCAGTTGACTGCCTGACCAGCAAAATAATCTAGTTATGATTCAAAAGCGCCAATTCATCGTTGTTGATCAACAAGTTGCAACAACAACAACAAAAACAATCCACATTGTCTACAACACTGGCTATCAGGTGTTCAGTGCTCGACTGACTGAACAGCTGGAACAGTCTTAACATAACAAATAACCAAGATCCCATCTATCCAATACAACAAAGGGCGACAGCAGCAAGCATGATGGGTGCTGGCTGCTCCATGGCCAAGCCTCCACCACGATCCACTCACCACTGCCTGCTCTGGCTTCCATGTGTCCAGGTTGACTGACTTGACCTTGGAGATGTGCACACCCAGGTTCCTGTGGATGCCCGCGCACCGAATGCAGAGGAAGACGCCAAGGTTCCAGGAGGCCCAGCGAGGACCTGCGGGACACAGCAGCCATGTGACGGTCAGCGCAGAGGAGTAGCTGAGGGTCACTGATTCTGAGGAGAACTGACTATGCTGCGGAGGGTCATTAATGTATACTAAATCTGCATCTATCTTTTAGAAAATGTGTCATGATGGGATCAGACTTGCAGGCTTCATTTTGGTGGAACCAATCACAAATCCAAATCAAAGTGAACAGAGTCGAAGCTTAATGTACTCCAGCATGACTGTGGAAAATGGGAATGAGATCCAAATCTTCTGCTGCATGGTTTGAATTGCCCCACAACCTTATGCCTATTTTGTGAGTCAGGTACTTTAAAGGCAGAAGCTAATCTATCCTGATTATGCTGCAACCTATTCAGACCAATTCAAAATCCGATTCAGTTAGACATTCAGTGTAGCTGGCACAATCTGAGTCTGAATCTGGCCAAAGCAGAACTCATTCCACACTAAAAGTTTAGTTGCCTGAGTCACACACAACTAGGGCAGGGACCATTGCAATAAATCTTGGTTAAGGTCAGTCAAGGTCAGGGAGGGGATCTGTGGGGCCCCCAGATCCTAGGGAGACATCACCTGGGGGGAAAAACCCAGGAACAATCAGTCATGACTGTGGACAGGCAGGCTGATTTTGAGCAGAAGAAAAAGACTCCTAGTTTATATCCATAATGTTTGTGGACATCCCAGTGGCATTCAAAACAGCATGACTAGCTGTTACAGGCACAAAATGACCATTGATGCCTGTGTGCCCTAGTGCCTCAAATCATCATCAACCACACTGCTGGCCGTAGCACTGTTTTCTGGCCAAGAGACATGATGGGAACAACTGGAGCATGACATGAATGAGGACCATCTACCTCACTGATGAGCATATGGCAGCTGACAGGCACCTGTTAAGTGATGTTACCACACTACATGCATTACGATCATGATAACGTGCTTTCCTGGCACGTGGCTTGCAATTAAAATAGACAACATCATCAATATCTACCTGGACTACAATGACCTCACCTTTGGCATCACAGTCAACACAGTACTTGTTGTCATCATCCTTCAGCATTCCTGTGAGTATGGCCAAACATTTCTCCTGGACTATCTTCTGTTTCTCTGCTGCCAATCTATTACTGCCATTCATGATTTCCCTGTAATGTCCTAGGGGTAAAATTCATTAGGATCATTCAGTATACCCATTAAAATATAAACGACGGCATGACTGAGTGACATCACAACATATGAAATATGTCACAAACAGACTTTTAATAGACCGCCTCTGCTAAAGCAAAAGCCGGCAACATTGGAGCAGCCATACTGTCAACTAACATTGCGTGAGTCATCATTATCAGCCACTTCTATTGGTTGTGGCAATTGATGTTTATCAAATAAACAATGTATATGCTAACACATTTGTTTATGATGTGGTTTCGATATCACACATCATATGCTACTAACAAAGTGATGGATAGATTAGGCCAGTCAGCAGCAGGCTTGAAGGAATAAGCATTTTGGCCACTTCACATTAAAAGTCATATACACTATGTCTAGTTTATTGGTTGTGCCCCCACCCCATTTACCCACAGGCCACTTCATCTGTAACTGGGCACTACTTTAGGACCAACAACAATAGGTTACAATCATATGATTATCTTGAAAACTAGACAATACGATATTTGAGGGATACTGTTTTAGAAAATCATGCTGTTCATACCCTAAATCCACTCATACATTGCACACATGAGAAATAGCGGCGTCGGTCGCGAAGCCCCGCTTTTGCACCACTAGTGCTGTTGGTAGATGTGCTGCGCATCTCTCAAGTGGTCTGGGTTCGTCAACACAAGTGCCAGCTGATGATGACGTCAAAGCCCAGCGAATACTTATTTATCCTTTACTACGCCATGTTGTTGATAACGCCGTTGGGACACCAAACAATTGCCGCGTTTCCAAAAGCGACTAACTGTTCATGGAGGTTGAGATTTACGAAGTCGCCTCGTGGTGTAGCCGTGGCCGACTCGAGGCACTTATCGCCACACGGCCCCTGTTGGGCACCATGGCCCCTGACCGACACAGGGGCCCCTCATTGTGTCAGATACCCTGCACATTACAAATCGCGGGCACCGACCTTGTTCCTGCTTGCGAAATAGGCCTCAGGGACTAAGACGGACATGGAGCCGACTATTTGGCTCCGTGTCGGGGCCCTTTATAAAGGGGACAGCAAACCCCAATAAGAGGGCCCTTATAGAAACCCTCTGACTGACATTTCAGGTCACGGTACTTCAGGTGGGGGCTGTGCCGAGTCCAATCGGGTCATTGATCTTGAGTCCTGAGGGGCCCTCCGGCCGGCCCCTCTTCGGACTTCTTCATACAAAGCCCGTGACCGACTAGCGGTCACAAGCCAATACCTGAACCCTGTTATGCACTTTGGGCCCCTGACCGCCACAACCGCCACACAATCCAAGGATCCAGACCAAGGTAAATCGTGGTCACCAGTCCTGCTCCCGCTTGGGCAATGGGCACCCCGGGTTCAGACTGAGGGGAAATCAGCTGTTCAGGTGCAGGACCTCGTAATGATGCTTCAGGTCACGAATCTACGGGCTGCGATTCTTTGCGTGACCCACAGCAGTCCTTTGCGCCCTTACGCCCTCCAACCGGGCCCTTGATAGTTGGTTCCGTTGGGCCCCTTTCCGGGTCTAATTAAACACTGCCCTCGGTTGGCTAGGGGTCCCCTGCAAGCACAGGGCCGTCTGTTAGGCGCTGTGGGTCCCTCGCAGATACACGGGCTCCGAACAGTGCAATTCACGGGCTCTGGCCTTATAGCTGATTGGGAAATGAGCCCTCAGACCCGTACCGATACGGAGCGGACAGCGCGGCGCTGATGGTGTCTAACCGACATATCTACCCATATCTGCTTAGGGTGTCCGTGATCGACGCAAAGGTCCCTCTGACTGTCATTTGAGGGTCGTTCCGCAGGCCAGGGCCCCTGAATAAGACTCCGAACTGTCCTTCCTGCTCCCAGGCCCTCCAATCGACCCCTTGATCGTCGGGTCCAGTGGGCACTCAAGGCTCTTCGTGCCCCCTCGAACACTACCTCTGGCTGACATGAAGCTCTTGCCGGCACGGGACCCTGTTAGGCGCTGTGGGGCCCCGACTTTTGTCAATCGCTGGCTCCGGCTTTGACCCTGTATGGGGAAATGGCCCCCAAACCCATGCCAACACGGAATAGACTGTACGTTACTGGTGACGTCTGGCCGGCATGTACGCCATTATCGACTGAGGGGCCTGATCAGCGCGCAGAGCCCTCTGGCTGGTATTGGATTGCCTTTGCCGTTTGTTTGATATCCTAGCAACGTCACAGATACCATGCAATAAAGAGTACAGAAACCCAGCTCGTTTGCTAATGACGTCATCATTAGCTGGCACATGTATGTACGAACGACACTTCCTTGAGAAGACAGGCCACAATCATCAACAGAACTGGCGGGGAGAACAGGCAGATCCTTGACGAGCACTATCACTGATATACGAAAAAATATGAATGGGCTAACGATATCAACAGCATTATTTTCTGAAACGACACACATGAAATAACATTTTGTCACGTTTTCAAGAAAATCATAACATTGCAAACCATTTTTGATACATGAAAAGTAACATCTGACTGGAGAGTACCCATTTCTACACTTAATGCTTAGCGCGTCACATGCTATGACAGATTCAACAGTCTGGTCTTTTCAGAGGCTGCATGAGCATGTTATCCAGCAGTGGCCAGTAGAAAGACACCCTTGCATTGGCAAGAGGTGTGCACTGAGGACATGTCAATGTCCTTTGACCTGCCATTGGCTCTGGTATCATCCGGTTAATGATAGTTTAAACAGGTAATCACAGCCCTGACTAATTGTAAGTAGTGCCAGAGTTAATGTCAGCTTTCTTGTGTGCAATGTAAGGTTCTTTTAATTAGATACCTGTACCGCAGACAGAGGTAGAAGCTACGCTGGCTGCAAGGTGTGGTTACTGTCGTGCCGATTAAATTGCTGAGACGCATCAGCTGATTGTGTGACGTCACTGATAACGGTTGCTTAATGATTCGCCACCGAACATTTTTTTTTAGCAGTTTCAGTACTCTCTTTCGTACCTGGATACCGGCAGAGCGCAGAGAACTGCGTGTGCCGAGCGCGTGCGGGTGGCAGATAATCTCGGAAAATTATCGGCAATGTTGGAAGAATTTTCCGGAATTGCGTTTGGCACTGCCCCTACATAAAAGCATCTCAGATAATTTTCAGTATCGAAGGAGAATCGAACAACTTCAGGGCATAGTCAGGATGAGGAATCTTTTTTACTGTGCCTAGCTATGCCATAGCGCGTGTATTTGTTTCCAGGTCGCTAGAGACTTTTTGCGTAGATAATTCTAGAGGAATTTGTTGGCATCTTGCGATTTTAGAAATGTCTCTAGTTTTATCGAGGCCTCGGGGACCAGTACGAGCTGTCGTGCCGGGGTCTTGATTTTGGCGGCGGATTCAATGTGGTGATGGCTGGAGCGATTCTCGTGTTATTCATGTGTGTTTACAAAGTCGCAACTGAACACATGTATTGTGTTTGCAAATGATGGTGTGGTTGGCCACTGAGCTCTCTGCAGGTTCAGTTTCCTAGAATTGCCGATTTTGGGTGTAAAGCAACATCATATGGGGAGGAGTTTTTCACTCCTTTTCCCCATATTTTTTGTGAATTTTTCACTCCCGGCTGACATCGTCTAATCACACGTGCCAAACTATTTCTCTTTCTGGGGTTTTCAAATGTTATCCAAAACCGAGCTCACTTGAAACCACCAAGCATAAACGAGGCTCCACAGAACCTAGACACCTATGGCTATGTCCTGCCTCACCTACATCTTAATCATGTCTATGTATGCACAGCGCAAGGGCGCTAGGTACCTCCAATCCCAAGAACCCCAGCGACTCCAGCCGCTTGCACGTATTAAGTTTGGTTTGTTTACAAAATGCATTACAACGGGCAGCTGTGTGCCAAATGCAAGGTTTTCACGCATCCCCTATTTTTTCGTCTCACCACCGCACCACGAAAGCAGAGCCTAGTGCAAACACCAGCAAGGCCTGGTATATAATTTTACTCCACGTGTGTCTTTCCCCGAGGAAACTTGACCACTAAACTGCATCACTCCCGAAATGCGGGAATGAAGGATTCAAGAAATGCCTTCCAAATTAAATTTAGAAAATGAATACCACCATTTGAGAACTTGTTTTAACAGATTTTAAGTCAAATCAGCTGATAACACAATTTTGCCAGAAAAGTACCAGTCTTGTATTTATTTAACTGCTTTCCTTTTTCTTAGTATCATACCAGTGCGATACCACTTTATTCTTCCCCCCTTTTTGATGGTCTTTAGAGGGACCATGTGTTGCTTAAAATGTTGACCAATTTCTCTGCAAGATTTTCCAACTGCAAACTTGTACGTATTTCATACGTAAATTGGATTAATTCGCCAGCCGCCCAAACATGTTTGATATGTACCCAAGAGTGAACAATTCACAGGGAATAAAGGAGACAATTTGAACCACGAAACTTATTTTTACCGCCATTTTTACCCCGTTAAACCCTTGTTTAAACGTTTTCTTGGTTCATGGCGGTGCTCAATAATGATAAATCTAAGCCTTTCGAGTGTCTAACTCACCAGGCTACCTGACAAGGCCATCCTAATACTGCCATATAGAGCTTTGGGACAGAGCTGACGCAGCTAATGCAGAAGTGCTTGATGGCGAATTTCTGCCCTTTGGAGGTGTTTATCATGCATACCTCTTGCTTGTTTCGCATTTTAATCTCGTAGGTTGGTGGGCGTGACTGATATTTATATTTGGTGGGTGAGTGGGTGATTCTGTCTGCCAGCAGACCACACAAGAGGTACTGACTTTTTGTTTTGAGGGAGCAGGAAGAAGCCGGTAAACCTTCTGCGAACCAAGTGATTGCTTACCTTACGTGCTTTGAACACATGATTGGTAACTAGAGTTAGCCATTTTCTGTTTCAATCAATCGAGTTTTGTCAGAAGACAAATTATGATGCCACAGGGCATGCATTGGGCTTATTTTGTTCCACATTTTCGATTATTTGTCTCAAAGTTCTTGAAGTGGTCCCTCATGGTTGCTTTAAGCAGATGTTTTCTATAGTTGCCATGGTTTGGTGACTGGCAAATGACTGTACTGTGTATATGCACTATACACACACAGGGATACTCCAAGCTGCATAGCAATTATAATATGAGTTCAATATTATTATGTATCAAATAGACCATCCTATTTAAATCATTAAGCCAACATGTCAAAAAATTGGTTAATTGCATGGCAAGCGTCAGTAGAAATTGTGCCAGAATCCGTAGCTCACAACTGCTGCTGTGATACAAACAGGTTAGACAGGATGAGATGAAGTAAGGTCTCTTTGCGTTAGCATAGTTAGGCTACTTTCATGGAATAAGCACTGGTATTTTGTAAGAAACAGTTATAAAATAGTTGTTTTCCTTGACCCCATCTCAACAAAAGCCAGAGGTATGTCTATTGTGTTTGACTTGGTGATGGGCTGATGTGTAGGTATCCAAAGTTTTTTCTTTGAGCGTTACGCTTGCTGAATTTTCTGTTATTTTGTTACTGAATTTCTTTGCTTTGTTTTGTGTTAAAGTGCTGCGGAAGGGAAGTGCAAAGTGCAGCATCAAATTATTTGTGTTAATAATTGTTTATGCTCATTGCATTGTCATGAAATAACTATGCTTTAATGTATTCTGTTTCACTTTAACGGCTTAAGATGTTAA